CTACAGTATGTCTCCACCATCTTGAACGGGATTTGGACGCAGCTCTTCTTGTGTTTTACTGGATAATTGCGGTTACAGTTCAGTATCTGACCAGTATTTCTCTCTTTCTGGTATACGCGGTTTTCCATAGTCCCATCCATGTTTCTGTTCATCAAAAAGGCCCAAAAACGGTAGCCGGTTGTTCTTCCCTATTTTGATTGTTAACCTGATATCTTCAAACATGGTCTTGAAAGTTAATGTGCATTGTGTACCGAATCTCGTTTCATGATGACAAACAAAGGTGTCGTCGACGTAGCGGATCCACAGCTTTGGATTGATGATTGGCAGTACCGCATGCTCTAGTCTTTGCATTACCGCCTCAGTAAAAAATCTTGATGTTAGAGATCCCGTTGGAGTCCCTTTCAGATGTTGATATATTTGTCCATCGAAGGTAAAGTATGTATCCATGCAAAAGTCCAACAGCTAGCATACAATTTCGGGTTTCATAGTTTCTGTCGTGTTTGGATTATTCTGAAACAGCTTCGCTATGGTTTCTCTGACGGGCTGTGGTTGACTGAAGTGAACAGTGATGTGACATCAAATGAAAGCATGATTTCATCATCTTCCATACTGACGTTCCGTACCACTGATCGTGTTCCGATCCACAGATTGAGTGTTTCAATCTTCTCCATAAGTCTTTTGGTACTTTGTAAGATGGAGTGCCCGGAAGTGAAACGATTGGCCGAAGTGGAGTTCCTTCTTTGTGCACTTTGGGTAGTCCGTAAAAACGTGCAACGCTGGTGTCATCGGCTTTCATTCACCATCGTTCCTTCATGGTTATCTCATGCGTTGCTTGCAGTTTCTCTAGCAGCGAGTTGATTCGATTGATGATGTTTGAAGTTGGATCATAATCGATTGATTTCTAGTTAGTCGTGTCATTGAGTAACTGTCTGACTTTTTCAATGTAATCTGGCTTGTCCATCATCACTGTATTACGTTCTTTGTCCGCCATTAGTATCATGATTGTTTCATCCTTTTGTAGGTACTTGAGTGCGTGTCGTTCTTGTTTGGAAATCACTTGCATCTTTCCGTCCCGTGTGATAGCGGAAACGATTGTCTATCGGATTCGTTGTTGAACCTCGGACATTTTCCTGTTTTCAGGAAGTGTCCTAAGCTCACTGGTACAAATTATTTGGTGAATTGGAGCTAGCCAACAGCATCGGAAGCGAGACCGAAGTGATTCCAACTGGAAAACTGGCTGTAGACTGCTGACACCAATAGCTTGGTGATGTCTCGGTCAGCTTTTCTTCAGAAAAGAACCAAGACGTTTATGAATGGAAGCGAACATTTGTGAAACACTCGGCGAGCATGTATAAATGCAGCTAGAGCCTTGAATCAGCTGGACAAGGGAGTATTAATGACTTGAATTCACTCTCAGGTTTAACATTACTCTGCCACATCCAGCACTGACCGAAAAACGATAAACAGTCACACCAGTTTTTATCTGTCGAATTCCCTGTAAATAGGGAATTTATTTACCTCAGCCCCATGATCTCTTATCCTCTTTTCTTATATATCACCCCTGCAACGAAAGTTTCTGAAAAATATACTCTAAAACTCAACCTTCACAGGATACAGAGAGCCGTTCATTAGTGATTTTTAAAAATTAAACTCAAAACTTCCATCACAAAATTCAAAACGACCGTGACAAAAGTGGATGCAATTCCATTGCGAGCAAAAATTCCCTCTAGGTGGGATCTAGTAGTAGTGAAAAAATGAAATCTGCTGCAAGTGACTGGTTACTAAAAGTGAGTGAGTAGAGGGTAGAACTTCAGTTCTCAAATTCTTCTGATTTCTGAATCAACTTCATAGGATCTCTGCATGTAGTCGATTGACCCTTGAGCTTCATTCTGGAAGCATGAAATGGCTAGCCAAATGGTCATGTAACTGATCCATGTATATCAACATGTTGAGTCCTGAGAAGGACGGATGACCTCTTGTGTCTGACCAATTCTGTACTACACTGTCGTCAAGCCGACATGCCACAACCCTGTAATATTCATCATCTACTCTGTTATAATTGTCAGCTTATTTGGAGAAAACTGAGCGACCATTATTGAATATTTAACAGCAGCATGTGTCATGGTTCCGAAAGCATATCTTTTGGACGGATCGAGTGCATATTTTCCGTCGGCAATGAAGCCTAATATTTTGATTTGATTTTGATTTTTGTACTACTGGCCTCCTTTAAGTAGTGAGATAATAAAGGAACTCAGTTCCACCATCTTATACCATTCTTCGAGCCACAGCTGGCGCAAAACCAAGCACTATTTCCTCACCCTCAGCGTAGTGTAGCCTAATAAAAGGAATTAAAACACCGTACCGAGTTACCGGGTCTTACTTTTGGAAGTCTGCACTTTATAAGATGATCAATTCCATTCGTAACTGGTCGGTTGAGCGAGGAATTTGGCCAAATCCAAGGACAAGACAACCATGCTGTTGCTCAGCCACCAGAAGCAAACCGGTGGAAAATACAGCTACTACGCAGAAGATTGAATTCAAGTATTCCTTGAAAGATGCGAACTCCTGATATATACTCGCAGGAATAAAGCAGTTTTTTGGCTCTTCATAGTCCCTCAGTATACTATAAGTTTGTCTTTCAGGATGAGTTGGAAAGGCAGAAACTTTACGATCCATCAGTGTTTCCACAGGTTCACCACCATGAACTTACTTTACAAAACCTTACAACGTAAAGGTGAACACAGTGCGAGAGCCGTGTGCGCAAAGAAGGATTGTAATTTTGAACTCCTATCCATACGATCCTCTAGAAACTCACAGTAAAATAGTCTTAATTATACGTCATACATCGTGATGAAGTAGTGGTACTTATGCCGGACGGGGAATAAAGTGAAGGCATTTAGGTCCCGAAAATGATTTTTCCTGCCTGAGACACGAGTCTAATGTCCTGACCAATCACTTTCGGTCAGCTCCAATTTGACACGAGGGACTGCGGTATCCTTCACAAACAGCGATCCAGTTCCCTAGCACGCTCCACAGATGTTTCTGCATGAAGCACTGATTGCCTCACAGTAGGAGAGCCTCATCCCCAAACCGTACTCAAATTTCGATAGCTCGAGGAAGATCCCCCTATTTCCTGTCTAATTTTCCTTATTTGAACGAAGAATAGTACGTGTTACAATCGAAAACTCGTGCTGTACTTAATTGGGCTTTGCTTGAAGTCCCTGTTTACACTATCTTTAAACTGGGTTATATCCACGCGGGAAAGCCCCATCTGAAGTCTCTTGTGCCGAGCAGTCATAACAACACTCAAATTGTCACCTTTAAACCAGTTTTCATAAGTGGAAATCAGTCTGCAGATTTGACTCCAATATTGAATGCCCTTGACTGAATAGAAGTAGAACACACACCTGCAAAGTGTGAAGTGCTTCTGCAAGACTGCGTGGATCCGAACCCTATCATCATGCTTGCGGATGAGCCGACTGAGATAGTAGACAAATTTGTCTACCTGAGCAGTCCCGCTGGTCTCGCAGAAGACGATATTTCAATCCGGTTTGGGAAGGCCAGGCAGCTTTTGTGGACCTGCATCACTTGTGGTGTAGGCGTGACATCGACCTATCTGTCAAGGGTCGAATTTAAATGCCGCGTTACGCTCCATTTTATTATACGCGTCAGAAACCTGCTCGCTAATCGCCTAAGACGTTAAAAAAAGACAATCGATGTCTTCGCGGTATTGCCCGAGTTGGGGTAGAACACCGGATCAGGAATGCTTAAGTGCGTCGAATGGTTTTCAGAAGAAATAACCCACCCACGATAGATGAACTGATCACACTACATAGGTTGGGCTGCTTTGGCCATGTGCTCCGTATGCCGGTCAACCGACTCTCACGAAGGGCTCTTTCTGCACAACCAAACGAAGGGTGGAAACGTGCCAGGAGAAGTCAAACATTGACTTGGTAGCAAAGTATGAAAGTCAGTACCGCCACTCTCACTGCGCTGGTCATCGCAGTCTCCCTGGATGAGGACCCGGAGACGAACATATCACTGGTTAGAGACATTGTCAGACATGGCCCAGTCGTGCCCTTAATGGCGGTTGTACACCCAAACCATTGCATCCGACTCATACCTCCCCTCCCAATCTCTCGGACGAGAAGTTCACTAACAACCCTTCATTTACACATCAGTCATATTATCTACAGTCTCCAATGGGCTCACTTCCCCAAATCATTGGTGAACGAAGCTGTGGCAGCTATGACCACTGTACCACAAGTGCCATTGGTGAACGAAGCGATGATGATGAATGTGATGATGATGATGAATTGAGGACAAATTTGAGAGCCAAATCTTTCAACAATTAATGTCATTTTCCTTCCGCAGAGATCATTTGCACCAGGATACATAGGTTTTAGTGCACTCAGAAAGTGATCCTCGACCCGAAATAGACATCCTACATGAATGTATACATCCAGAATGTCGTGACCTATGTTGGTCTACAAACCAACCGAACGAAGTTGAGGAAATGACTGATTTCATACCTCTTTTTTGGTTGAACTAACCACAGTGCGCGGGCAAAACGAGAGTGCTGTTGACACAGACCCAGAATTCNATTAATAAGTAGGTACATCAGCAGTCCAGAACGGTTTGTGACACTGGTCTACCTAGTTTCGACCTGTGAGGCAGTTATGCATCCATACCACCAGGGGAACCCGGTGTAAGAACTCAGGGGTGTGAACACTGTTCTTGATTTATAGGATTCGCCGGTCATTTTCAGACAACATTAAATTTCTGCATCAGCTTTTATATTTCTCAATCTATCTTCATCGGTTGCATCCTTTTTTTATTCAGCTAAAGGGAATGCGACCTCGGGCATGTTACCAACAGTCCTGCGAAGAGTCGTCTGGTTTCTTGTATTTCGTTCGATTTTTTGATCAGTGTTTCGCCCGGTTTAGGTGGATGGAATCACGTGACACCTTTCAAAAAAGGGCGCATAATCAGATGGGAAGGACAGACAGTAGTGGACAAGCCTAAACATGCATTGATCAGTTGACAGTTGCTTAACTTTTAGTTTCAGCAATAACTAGGCACCAAATTATGTGGAACTGGTAAAGGATTTTCGGAAAGAAACACGATGGAAACAAAGAGCACTCGCAGTGGCATTCATATTACCACCGAAAGCAAAAAATCTCCAAAAGAATGCACCAGCACAACGAGTGGTATGTCTCCTCAAGCTCGTGATGAAGACCCGGTATCGGATAACAAAACCTCGGTTTTTGACAGCAACGTGGTATCAGAGACAAGCACTATCAACCGGTACATTTCGAAACTGCATTGTAATCTGGATTCGCGCTATCAGTTTACAGGAATCCTCGCAATGGAATTTCGTAGGCCAATGTTCTCCTGTAATGCGAAGTTATTTCAATCATTCGGGGGACGTTCAACCTTGTCTAACTGCACCCCGAATTCTGGTGTAACCAGTGAGCCCGGAGAACTAACCGGCCCAAAACTAACAGCAGAATTGCGCAGGTGGAATGCAGAAGCATGGCGTAAGTTGGTTCGCTACTTTGGCGAGCTAAGGACGACGATAGCTTATAATCAACCTTGGTATAAAGATTAAAGACGGTGTAGCTACTTAACCCTTAGGCTGTGAAAGTTGGCCATTCATCATTCTGAAAATTACACTCCAACGCTGGTTGAAAACAGACCTACGAGTGTGTTGTGTGCTACCTTCGACTACAAATCTGTCCGGAAACTTTAGTGGAATGAGAAAACGATATGAGTGAATGTACAGTTAGTTTGAAGAAAAAACAAGTAAGGTTGCAGGTCATTGGAGTGTAAAGTAGTATAGTTACAGTTGTAGTTGGTTGTGGGATTTTTAAAGATCATATTCACATCACTCGTGTTTGAGCAGTCCTCTTTCTGTTCCGTTGTCCAGTCAACACCGATGGCAAAATCACTGGACTCGAGTTTTGTTATCATAAGAGCTCATCAGCGATTATCACGGAACTATCAACTAACACTCACAGCCTGAAAGACTGAATGCTGCATGTGGTCGGTGAGAGGTTACAAGGGAGATTACAGTGAAATTGGGCAACAGAGAGTGGCGAAGACGGATAGAGACTTACTTCATATCTCCGGTGCTTGTATTCAGTTGGTATGGCCACAACATTTACTGAAAACCGGTCAGTTAGTCGCCCACTGAGGCATCGTTCATAACACCATCAACGTGCAACCTCGTTTAATGGAATGTATCTCTTGGTGTGTGTCATACTCGTGGATGGCCTAAGGCCCTCGATGCTGATATATTAAGAAACTGTCAACTTGCATTCGGTTTTGTAGGCAGCCATTTCCTCAGTAAGTATTGGTTTCTTGATCAGACCCATCTTCGAAGCGTCTTTGATCAGAATGAGACTTGATAAGACATTTCTGATTGTAAATTGGAATCAAACTGATCGAAATCAGTAACCAAAGAATGTAGTGCGTTGAAAAGATGTTAATTGTATTTACTAGGCTTATCATCTATAGTTGCGGTGTTTCGACCAAAGTGAAGACTATCAACATCAAGATTATGATATCTATCCCTGTAGCGGAGCGGGGAAAAGGGCGGTAAGTAAACAGCAGTTTTGCCACACAATACACTTGGCTGGTGGCTTGATACGATCTGATCATCAACGCCATATTGCGGTTAGGTGACCTGCTGATAAATGGCAACGTGACAATACACGAAACAAACGACAAGTCCTGTCTCAATGACCGTCTTTTGGTTCTAGAACGAGAGACGCCTTTCAAACCCCCCGCTGGGAGCGTGGGGACTGATCCATCCCAAAACACTTTGTCGCTAGCCCGTATGCGATCTAGGGATAATTAACACGGAACCCAGGAATGATTTGCAAATTGACGTTTCCTCTATATTCTGTTCTATCTACAAGGGTTAACTACAGGCATCACGGAGCATGCGATAACAGAGACGCTTGATTGTTTCCTCATCACTCATTATCCCAACTGAAAGAACAATTAGTACAGTAAAGAGATGACTGTGTGTTCCTTCACATGAGTTAATTTTTGACTTAGGAAGCATTCATAAAAGGATTTTCCGAGCGATTTCGACCGGTCCTTAGGGTGCACTCTACACTGGAAGGGGTGCAGTGTAGCTAGCCTTCAAGCAGTTTCAACATATTCGGCCATGTACGTTGTACGAGCGAATCTCAACATCAGTTTACCAAATTCTGTTAAATCCACTTCAGAAGATTCAGTCATAACAAAGTGCAGTGCGTATCGCAACTCCAAAGCTCACAACCCCGAGAATGATCACAGAGGAAAGTCCACGCCTGCTGTAACTGCTAAAGAACAAGCAACTGAGAGTACTGACCAAAATTTCACAACGTACAGAAATTCTGTGACCTAATTCGACCATAATACCTCAACTTTTTCGGAAACACGTTGGATTATGAAGGGGTCGCGGCACTTCCAGCGCGACGGTGATTATTTTCGAACGGTTCCGACGGCGACTGCATTAGAAGGGTCTACCGCAACAGGGGCCAATTCAGACACGGCGACTAAAGGGTACCGAAGGGTACTAAAGGGAACCAATAAATCTGGCATCAACTGATGGTAACCAGGCTCCGAATGATCATTCGGTAAAGGCATTCGATAATAGACTTCTTGTCTTCAGGAATTTTGAAAAAGCGACCCACTTAGATGATGTACATGTGGTGTACATGGAGTGAAAGCTATGTATGTAATTATCTTCAGCGACATCATCATGATCTTTCTCTGAACTGTTGTTTTTATTATTTTTCATCGCTATTTTCATCTCCCCGATAACCACCACTGTGCTTTATCGTCAACACCACCGAATCAATGAGGTAGAGCATATGCAAGATTTTAGAATCATGTGGTCTTAAAGGGGAACTCATCCGAAACCCATCTGTATCTATCACTTATGTTGTTGTTCTTCAACTGAATGCGCAACATCAGGCATCAGACAAAACACACTACTTACAAGGTTGCTGAAAACTCTCCAACAGCCCACGAACGGTTTTGCTCTTCTTGGGGCTTATCGAGTAGACAAATTCCCCGATATTCCATTAACCTTATGTCCCGCTTTAACCAAGATTGCACAAAAATAGGACCAGTACTCTCATTTGTATGCGAATCTGATTATAACCATCTATATTTTTCGACCTAGCAAACCGACTGACTGGTGCTGATCAGGTGACAATTATTCAAAACTTCTGCACTCATTTTTACGAACGTTACTGCACCGCCTTTGGAGATTTACAGGGAACTACACAAGTCACTTCGTACAGAAACGAAAACGGAAAAGAGTGGGCGGACAACAGTAAAGTTCATCCAGCACCTGGCGATCAAATCTCTACGGCTGACAACACATACACGCAGGAATCACGTGGAGCGTTGTGTCCGTTCTTCTTCATCGGGAGCCTCTCCGATGCAGCTAAGCTTTGTGAACGACCGCCTGGAAGACCGGTGGGTTTCATCATCAGTATATTATTGAGTGAAGCGTATGAGATATTTCTGCTAGAACAGGATAAGTTAACTTCAACCAGCAGACCACTCTGATAAAAAATATTTGCGTTGGCTGAAATCATTATCATCATCATTATCGGCTGCAAGAGCTGCATACCTGTCATACAGTGCTTGTAGCTGCCTCAGTTTTGTTCACCGATGATTTGGGTAGGTGGGATGGGTAGCTACGCATCGGAGGCGGGAGCTGATAAATTCGTGCGTAACTACATATCTGACATTTGCGCAACTGTTAGTGCAAACTATAGGTAATGTTATGAAATAGGTTTTCTGAAAATAGCCATCCTGCCCGCAAAACAAAACGAAAGTCATGCCAAATGATGTATTAACCAAGACAACCAAGAATACACAGGGTGATGTTTTTGTGTGCTCTTGTGATCTCGAGAATCTAGCGTTTGTTAATTCAGCTCAGTATACCCAGTTATAAGAAAGACAAACAAGGGGATATAATAGATTTAATGCACTACTCATAAGGTTGCTGAAAATTCTTCGACAGCCCACGACCACTTTCATCCTTTTTGGAGCTTATCAGGCAAGCTCAGTCCCCAAGTTTTCATCCAAATTATGTTCTACTTTGACCAAAATTGCACGAAATCAGCTAAATACACTCAGTTACAAACAAATTTTGTTTTGACGAGAGACTCAACTGGAACCAAGCTGCATCTCTCGTTTATGCTATTTTCATGCATCTGAATGTGCTGCACCAGGCCGCCTCATGTTTCAGTTGATATGATACGCCAGTATCAGTGGGGTCTTCCTTGGAAACCAAATTTCTATACAAATAAGTGTATTTTGTTGATATGCTAGATTCTTATCGCAGGCACCTTAAACGGTCATCTGATTACTTCTTTGTAAATCCACCTAGGGAACTGTTAAACAAACCCAGTGATCATCCTTCATGAAGTGAACGAAGACTCCTCGTTACAGGAGGGCTAATATTTTTAACTTTTCCCTATTTCAGTGGCCCGTGATGCTCTTTTACTTGCATCATGAACAAAGTAAATACACCAGGAGATTTGTAGAAAATGTTTTGTGCTCCAACGCTGAAGATACTGAGGCATCAAGTTGTGAAACTGGAAATCGTACTCCAACCATTCCGGATTTGTTAGTCCCTGGGCAGTATTCCTCCGCCAGCACGAAAGTTGGACAATCAGAATCTTTCTCACAACCAAATGTTCCACAGTCCACGGCTCAGAGGGTAGTTGCAAGCCGACTCTCTCCACAATCTGAGTTCTATCGGGGACGCTTCGGTCGACGTAGAATGAGCGAAAATCTCGAGAGTGGTAGGAGTAATGCTTCGTACCCAATTAGAAGTTTGACCCGCACACCGCGAAGGTTAACTGCATCCCCCGAAATTCAAGTTGCCGCTCTCAAACGTCAGTTTAACGATCAGTCTTTGAGATGGCGAAGCAGCAGAAAATACAGCACTTTCAATGACTCAGTAGGCCGTGTAGGGCATGAATCATGCACAAATGGAAACCAGTCAAAGGATAAGCAGACCAACAATGCATCTCGCAGTTTGCTTTTCCCCCGTCGAACGACTTCAGCCGAAGCACGGGAACTCAGTGGCTCTGAGTTGATCAGACGTGAGGTGACAACACAACCCGAGCGGAAATGTGAATACGTATGCGCGGATTCTGAGGAAAACGACCAAGTTTATGAGACCAGTTACAGAACTAAGTCGTTCCGGACGCTTTTGCTTGAGCGCAGTGCTGGCCTTGTTCCCTGGGACTGCACTACGGTGACAGCACGCGCTCACTTGGCATCGGCGTTTCTTGGCACACAGCTGGCGCAGTGGTTGAAAGAGTGGCGTGAGGTGAGTCATCCTGAGCTATCGTACTTGACTTATTCCAAAACGATCCCCGGAACAAATAGATGACTCACCCTCAGTGGCCAACTGTTGTAATCGATTGTGGACGAATTAATTACAACTCCATTGGTCGAACATATGATTGAATCCATTGCCCCTGTTTCATTGGTGTAAACGCTGTGGCGGACAAAGATATATTGGAATATATAGCCGGAAATATCGAGGATGATCCGTAGATTGTGCACCTCATTCGAGGTGGCCTTCACCTGCTCGACAAAACTTAGACACGACATACACCATCGGAGGTTGCTGTGGCAGCCGTAACTCAGTGCCAAACGTCTGAACATTTAATTAAACTTCTTTACAAATGAGTTTGTGACTGTCTCTCATGTTAGGCGAACTGCAGCTGATGTAAGCATTGTTGAGCCAACCGGCATGTTTATTTAGACGGGCCTCCTTCGTAATGGGGCTCCTACCAAGTAAAAAGAAAATATCCTTGGGGCGAAGCACTCTCTCATTAATCCGTTTACACTCCGGATGAGCTTTGGTGGAAACAGTTTAACAAGGTTGAAATTTAGCCTTGGAAGTTCCGGGCTAAACTCGGCTAGATTCTTATCTGGTGGGTTGAATTTAAATTACCATATATATATATATATATATATATATATATATATATATATATACTTTCCTTGATCGTCTGTTGTTCGGAACATTAAAGTTGTATCCAAGGCTTCGTGTTCTCACTAGTCCTCCGTACTAAAAGTCGGGATCAAGCAACATAGCTGGGAATAGAATATCGTCACAATCCGCGGTTATTATCGTCCAGTTGCCGCGTTATCGAAACCGTAACATACACTTTGTCTGACGGTTTACGGTAGCTTATCTGATGTGTCTGTTTCGCAGCCAAACCAATATCCCGTGCTCGTGGCTATCGGACGAACAGCAGAACGTGATGTGGTTTGTAGCTATCTGAGTGGACCAAAAAGCAATCGTGTGAGTGCATTAAAATGGCTGAACGAAGTGACTTTGGCACACTTTTCAAATTACCTCAACAAAACCGTGCCACTTTGCCCGGAACGAAGCGAACCGCTGACGGGAACCACGACTTCATCAGCTGAGAACATACAGAACCAAATCCCTACACACATTTGTTCGTACCTTCCCAGGGGAGCTTCTTTCACTGTGAGTCGGACAACAGCAATTACTGGAGAACTGACGGAACACACTTTCACATCCTTACTGAGTACCCGCGGACCGTCAAGTGATCGGGGAGCTCTCACTCGTTCAAACTGTGCTAAATATAACGTTTCACCAAATATTTCTGAAGGAGTCATCTACCGCGTGGGGAAAACACCTAAGCAGGAAGAAGTAAGCCAAAAGATGTTTGTGTTTATATCAGACGCGGAAGCTTAGACGATGAAAAAAGGTTTCAAATTGCAGTTTAGGGCTTCAAATTATTCATGGGTTTTTCGATCAGACTACTTATTCTAAAGAGGATGGTGATAATGATAAATTATGTTCTGCGCCAGACGAAGTATTCAATAGTGGTTATCTATTATCAGGGTTCATTTTTTGCGCGTATTTTTGGCACTATTTCTGATATGACCGAACATGCTATTGTTTTCTTGCGACATTTTAACGCAAGCCATCTACATGTCTTACCAGAGGACCCTATCGTCGCTATTCGTCTCCTTTGGTGAACAACAACGGTCAGATGAACTGCGTGACCAGCTCAAATATGTCCAGACCAGTAAGTCATTCGATCAATATTTCGAACATGCTGAATACATAAGCTTCGCATACGACACGTGTCCACCAAGATTGCGATCGTTAAGTTGTTGAAATCTCTGGAAAATCATCATTCATTTATAGCATAAAAATATAATTCGACTGTAACTATCATTCCACTGAAAGCTTTACTCTCGCTCAAGGGAGGTTTGATGTGACACCTACTCTTCGGCTGGTATCTTGTCTTTGTGATCAAACCCTGAGACACAGCTGATGCGAAACGGTGTTGTAGACTTTCTAGTAAAGTGATGCTCTCTCAGAATGGGACTTGTCCTATCTAATCGTCAGCTTCAGTGTTGTGTCTTGATGAACGGTAGTGCAACTCTGTATCGGTCACCTGGCTCCCTGTTCCGCCCACTATGGTACATCAAAAGGCACGGTAGCTCTACACAGCCCTTTATGGAGACAAAGGAAAAATATTAAAACTGTATTTATAGGGTAGTCACAGTGAGTTCCACAAGGTCGTGCCAGAATGTCCGTGAGGGGGCAAGAAGCGTCGAGTTAAAGATGCTCGATCCGGATTGGCTGGCATTCTGACCAATCAGTGCATGCCTTCCTTTGGTCCGTGTCCTGAACGTGACACGGACGATATGATGTTCGGTTGTTAGGATAGGCTGGCCTCCGTACATTCAGTTAGCATGTTAAACAGTACAGTGGCTTCATGGAAAAAACTCCCGTGGGAACAGTGAATTGTACCATGCTCACATACAGGCGGACATTGCTGCCGTTGTTGCTGGCAGAGTAGGAAGTTCCATTATTGTATCCTGTAGGTAGAATTTAGCACGATGACAGGAACTCTTATAAACAGTTTTGAATAACACTGAAGATGTCACGAAATCAACCAGTAGTGAATGGCCCGATATAAGTGGGTTGAATCCATCTATAGGGAAAAACGTCGGCCATTGGCGGTCGTAACCTTGTTCCTCCCTGGTGTGGTTGTAGTTCTCAATTCGTTCGGTGTTTCTATCACCTCTGAGGGGCTTTTTTGTCCTAACATTTCATTGCATGGTACGTAGGGTCTCATCGATCATAGGTGTCTAAAGAATAAACCTGCATCGACCAAGCGCAACTTATCCCCCTTTGGTGACTTGTGCGGGACAATTTTTGGTCGATTTTGTTTTGTTTTCCAGCTTCACTGTGGACACTTTAGCGGCAGAGGATAGGTTTATCGGTTTTCCAAAGAATATTCAAAGCAACGCGGTCGTAAGTCGATGGTCCGTGTGGCTTTCAGAGGGTTGAAAAATTGGAATCCTTTGCGTAAGAGAAAATAGGGTGTGCGAATGCTGAGGACAAGAGAAGATGCCAAGCTAACTGTGGAAGCACAAACCACGACAAACCTATAGACGCATGCTCAAAACAACAGCTTCAGCTCTGGCCGGATTACACCTAAGAATGTTGTGATCGCCTAATTATTAAATAGGTTACCGTCAGCTATGCTCCATCAGCACTTGATCAGACTATAGCTGATCCACCTGTGTGTAATACCTACCACGAAAACGAATAGGCAGCATGCGTCTCCGTTTATCGATACGGTAATTAGTCCCCGGGATCATGTCCGACTGATGGATATGAAGAACTGTTTATTGTAGCCCGTCTGTCAAGAATTATGCACGGTTTATCTAATACAACTTGGTTACGCATCTATTTTTCCTTTCAAAGGTTTTTCACAGGCTGTGCAAATTCTTATCAAAATGCACAACCGCGAAATATTTGCATTCTATCGGCATTCCTGTGGAATTCCTTGATCTCAGGAACACAGTGGGATTCCGCAAACCTTTGTCTACACAACAATTAACCACTACCTTATGCATGGTATCGGACCCGATAGCAGAATCGCAAATGATGATCATACCGTCCCTGGAAGCTCGATCACGTCATTCACACTTCCTTATGCCTTCAATGAGACGTGACTCACAAACCTCTGGTAGAAGCAGAATTAAATCTATTACAAGAGAGCGGAGGTTATCTTCACGGGTTTCGACCAGGTCCAAACCAAGAAGTGCCGATCCACCAAAATGCGATTTGCATGGTTCCCTCTTGAGGGAGGATCCACAGTTCTACCACGAGTTCCGGCGGGACTTTGTCAAAGCATTCCCCTCCAGCCCACCATTTCTGTTAGGACACTTTCAGACCGCACTAATGCGTAGTTTTGATATTCTGTCGAATCAGGTAAGTTTTACCAGTAAGTCTTTCATGAACATACACTTTCACCCGATAACTAAGGTGCACTTCCATCCTGTTTTTCACAGTTTTCATATTCACCAATTAGGTTAATTCCGGAATCCCGTGAAAGCGGATAAACTAGCGTTGCTCCAGGCTGAACACAACGTAATTTGTCCTTCCAACCACGATCATGATTTCAACTAGAAAATGCACTGGAAAACAAAACATACACAAGTCGACTATATTCCTTGCGGTCATTCTAAATTGGCCAGCAAATCGACCGTAAGTAGATCATATTGGAAGGCTAACCTGAAGAACCTTGAGTCACTCCAATAAAAATGAGACTTTAAACTATGTAGCAGTTCAGACGTCTACTCCGATAGAACAGGCTTACAGAAAGTTACCTGACAAGAATAGTAATTTGGAAATACGGGGATTGCCTTAAAAAACGGTTCATTGCTAAGAGCAAACGGACGGCCTTCTATCGTATAACACTAGGTGATATTTCCATCCTGATTGGGAAGGCCAGAGCAGCTTTTGTGAACCTGCGTCTCCTGTCGCGTAGGTGTGGCATTAACTTCTCCAGGATTACAATGCTGCGGTGCGCTCCGTATTACCATACGGATCAGAAACGTGGCCGATGCCCGCCGAGGACGTCAAAATACTTTTGGTGTTCGACCATCGATGTCTTCGTAATATTGCCCGAATCTTGTAGGAACATCGGATCAGCAATGCTGAAGTACGTCGAATGGTATTCGGGAGAAATAACTCATCCTCGATAGATAAACTGATCACACTGCATCGGTTGCGCTGGCTTGGCCACGTGCTGCGCATCCCGGTCAACTGACTTCCCCGAAGGGCTCCTTCCGCACAAACAAGCGAAGGGTAGAAACCAGCCAGGAGAGGTCAAAGAATGGCTTGGCAGCGAAGTGTGAAAGCGATTACCGGCAAACTCACTGTGCTTGTCATCGCCGTCTCCCTGGATGAGGACCCCGCGACTGAGACATCAGTGGTTAGACATTGTCAGACATGGCACAGTCGCGCCCTCAATGGCGCACGCGCATCCCAGCTATTACCTTCCTTTCCAGTCCACATACTTGACAGTCCACTAAGAGTGCTGTATCTAAGCGCCAATTTATCAGCTCCCGCCTCCAATTCGCAGCTACCCAATTCGCAGCTACCTACTCCCCCCCCCCAACCCATCGGTGAACGAAACTGTGGCAGCTACAACCGCTGTACAAGTAAGTGGTTATTACAATTGGCAAGGATGATGATGACACTAGATGTCTACCAGTGGAGTTCCAGAAGCTGCTCTGGTAGATGGTGAAAATTGAAAGAGTCCATTCGTAGGGAATTCTTGACGGGATGAGCGCCACGAGGTCCTACCACTTAACTAGCCGACCACATGAGTGCTAGAGCGTGTAATAATAGTTTTTGAATATAAAATGTATGCCGGTACATCCTTATGTCAACGACCACTACATCAGCCAGGTTTTTCGTTCTGATAAAAATCTGTAATTTTTCTGGTACCTTGTGGATAAGTCGTTGCAGTAGACGGCAGTGTTCTGAGTGTGATCCTGTCAAAACATCCTACGCGTAACCTGAAAGTACAGAGCGGTACATAATAAGAAAATTACTATTGTTGGGGTCCTCACATCTCACACTGATAAATTTTATTGCAAAGGCCCTCCCATTACTCCTTATTCTATTCTTGAACGACGACTGCCAGTCAATCCTTGAGTTTAGCGGACTGCAGCCAAAGATTTCCTATTAAAAATACTGGACTTGTCCTTTCGTCCGAGGGATGTGTGAATTTGCTGTCATTGAGCTGCCGTCCGACCTTGAAATCTCAGCTGACAGGCCTATTTTACTCATGCTGTCATGAGCGCGTGTGATTCGAACTAAGGGCTTCCTTCCTCACAGTTACCCGTAGAGAGATAGACAGACAGACAGCTGTCCCCTGTCGCCTATTGGCCGTGAGTGCGGGAGCTATCGATCGGTAGATTCCGTTAAGGCTAACTGTCAGAACTTGCCCCAAGGTCGACACGCCACGTGGCCCACACTTGGTGGTCTGTCAGTGGCACACTCTTAAGACGAGGTGATATGCGGTAATCCCTGAGCTGCCACTCAGCTGCACGAGCGAACCTGAGCGATATAATGATTGGTTTCCGTTCTGACGAACATTCGCATGTCTGAGGCGAGACAGCGGCATCGATGGCTGCCGAGGCGATGCGTAAGTGGGCAAGGGAACGAAACGTGTGGATTGGATGGCTTGAAAATTGAGCTGACACCTCAGATTTCGCGGAGGGGAGAAAAGTGCGCAGTGCGAACGATCAGACCTATCATACCAAAAATGAGGCGGCTATTATATGGTATTCTACAGACCCGTTCTTTTGAAAACGATTTGAATTCCAAGGCGTTTATTACGGTCACTCTGTTTCGTTTTGTGATCCCACCCAAATACCTTTGTGGTCATATGGGAAGCTCAAGTGCGCTTACACGTCTACACATGCCATCATGCGTCAACATATTCCTCGAATCAATAAAGCGCGAGACGTATCAGCGTTTCCAGAGGGTCCATACAATTTCCAGATCTCTCGCCACAGGATGAATGTACTTGAACATCCATTGAGTTCGTCCGTCGTACGCGGTCTCACAACCTATGGTAGATGGCATATCATGGTAGACAACGTTAACATGCAGACACTGTGCACTGGTTCGATCCATATACACCTATGTAAATAGAAAGGACGAACGGATGTCGAGGTCGGTAGGGCATGGTTCGGTCTGAGGGTGAATGGTCTGAAAGCAAACGCTGGCAGAATGAACCAATCATCCATACTGTGATTTGGAAGGTTTCAGACCCTGTCACCCAGGGCACGACGAGACTTCCAAGAAATCGCAGTCAATGTTTCTCAAGCTCGTCAGCCAAGTGAGATAAGTTTCGGGCGCACATTTGTGCTGATGGGGTAAATTTCGCCTGTTTCATGAGACCGAGTGAATGCTTTGCGGTGCGGCACTTTACTAACTTCAACTAAAACTCATGTTGTCTTCAATATTTGGTAGAAGCACAAACCAACCAAACTGGAAGATCCAAAGTGTCTAGAAAAACTTGACTTTTGTGGTTTTTCGCGTTAAATTATACCGAGACAGGAATATTCGCTATGTTTCACAAATCCACCTTCTAGTGCAGACTTTGTCCTCCATTTAGTGATGTGTCCCGTTATTTGGTCCGTTACCCAAGAACCAGGAAGCCTTGGTGTATGACACTAACTGACACTAGTTCTCCGACTATCTCAGCCTGAATATAATTTCGAAAATACGAAAATATCCATTCACTGATATGGAATGAATGGGTAATACACATTTACCTGTTGGGTTTGCGTTACATGAACTGCAAAGAAGGCTGCACTTATACACTCAACTGCACACCTATTTGGGCTTGATAGGAACCCACCCTAATTTCTGATTTATCATGTTCTCACTCAACTGAATGCGCTGCACCAGACCGTCACATGTTTCAGTTTGTACGATATTTGAGATATCGCCATCCAAACGGTAAACCAGACGCTTCCATTGGGTCGAGATTGTATGGTCGGTTGTCTAAGGCTAGTTAAGCACACAACGCGAGCATGTCTGCATCGTTGTCGCACTGACTGTACAGGTTTAGCGGACAAATAAATGCAAAACCTTGATCACTCTGGCCTTATTATTTTATGGGACAATAGACAGTGAGCTGCCCACAAAGCATGGGTGCTGACCCGAATGCAGTATCGAAGCTGACAGTGAAACAATTGACACTAATTCGCATTCCAATTAAAAGAGCGAAAATCAGAGTCAACTAAGCGGAGCAAACGAAGGATAGGGAAACCTGCGCATCTTCCATCTGAAGGTGGAATTACTCTTACACATAATAACCTGCCATTTGTAACTTTTGACGATCAACTGTTGTCAGGATCTAGCGGAATAAAAGCTGTCTAACATGTTTTAAATACTCAAGAAATAACGGAATTCGGGATGCCATCATCAGAACGCAAGATCAATGAAATTTGTAGTATTCTGAGTGATAGCAGTTAAACAGTTCGCTTTACCATCCTTGTTAGAGATCACGTGTGGTATGCGGAATTAGTAAGGAAGGCGTCTCTTTAGATTACAGTTAGGTCTTGCCGATATGACATTTACACGTATACACAGGAGCGCTTATACTAGGTGGAGCACACAAGTCCAAAAACGAATCAGTCGGTATTTCTTGGGATGTGAAGACAAGCTTGCGTTCAGTTGCTTTACTTCAAAGTTCCCAGTCCTCTACCCAACCTAGTTCGATTTAAAGGACGCTATATATGACCAGTCTGTTACTAGCGATACAAACCGGCCACCACTTCCCATACATATACACTCAGCAGTTCCCACTGTCATCTAATAATTTGGTTCATCTGTGATCATTTGGAACGATCTCTTTTTGCCGAAAAACTGACTTGAATTTTTTTTCAAATTGCAGCAAACATCTCCGCTTCTAATGTACCTTCATGATAGTCACAGCCCAGGGATTTTTCACTTTGTTGCAAATGTTTTGTGTTCTCGACGATTCACCTCAAGACTTTTCGATCACAATATCCAACTTTGGCCTCTGGATGTTTCTGGAGTTGCTGATGGATCTTACAGCCTACTGGCAGAAAATAGAGCCGATCTTATCAATTGTGTGCGTGACATCTGTATTCCTGAACAGAAGCCGTCGTCCCAGACCTCTACTGGAAAGACGAAAAAACGAAGCAAAATTCGGTCGTCGAGTGGCTTCGCGACCGATCTACTAGGTGGCTCAAGGCCTTCCACAACGGCTCGCAAATTAAAAAAGCAAGGTTCCAGTGAAATGTGGATGGCCTCAAGCAACAACACTCACTACCTCTCAGAATGTGCTGCTCCAAATTCAAACGAATCAACGAAACAAACTAATGCGTTGGCTAGTGCCGAACGCTTATTGCAACTTCTCCATGGCCATCCAGCGGAAGTCACAATCAAACGGTTGTTCAAGGCAGGTTACTTTCACTGTGTTATTCAGTGTCACTGTAGGCAGGTTATACTAATCTTCACCTGGTTGAAGTCCCTAGCTTTTCGCGAACTTGTAAGAATTCGCGTTTAAACGCAGTAAATTTGGATAGCTCTTAGGAGGAGGTTCAAACTCGGACATTTCTAGTTCTTAGGTCTTCCAGGACGGATAACGACATGGTTATGAACGATGAACTCACGTTGGACAAGATTGGGCCAGCTTAACCTGTTTCCATATGTCTTTCCAAGCAGTTATCTCCCGATGAATGGTACCAATATGAGTTTCTCGTAATAGCATAAAGATATTGGCGGAATTACTAGTTGATTACGCTAAATGAGATATTCACCACCCGTCGTCGATCAGCCATAGCTATGCATAGGAGATTAGACTGTGTATTCGTACTAACTTTTGAAGCGATATTCATAAATGCCCCACTACATCTTTCAACTGAAGGCAGAATGTGAAATTCTGAGGCCGGGTAAAAGTAGATCATTTCCGAAAGCAGTTTGAATCGGCTGAGAGTCTCAGTGCCCCCGATTTTTTGCCCATAATGGAAGTGATGATAACTGTACTTCAGACTCGGCCGTTCTGATGAAGAGGGACCAACCCGGTCCACTCCAGCAAGGCCCTGTAAACTCTGCCTTGAAAAAGATGTCTTTTGGAAACTGAGTTCCAGTTCACAACGATGACCGTTTCAGGCGTGTCAGAAGATCTGTTTCCTCTGATAAAGAACTGGGTTGCAGAAATCGTGTTCTGAGTGTTCCTCCTTCAAGGCGTTAAGTAGGCACGTGACTCATCTCAATACGCGTAAGTGAGAATAAGTGAAAATAATTACGATGAGACGGAGAAATGTTTCGGAGCCAAACGAGAGTCTTTGGTACATTTTCAGTTGACGTTGCAAAGTACTTCCCATAGAAGTTGTTCTAACTTATACACAAGTGTCAGCAATCGTGGATGGTCAGACGGACCTCTGTAGCGGTTGCATGCTAAATAGCATACAACGAAGTGCCACAACAATAACGCAATCTACCAAATGTGTTATGGTATCTAGATTATTATTTGCTCGCACGTCCGATAGAGATAATCCCCCGAAGGGAGCAAGATGGCCCAGTGGTTAGAGCACTAATTTACCTAATGGAATGTCCGTGGTTCGAACCCGAACTCTACATCTCAACTTCTCATATCAAGACTAGGGCAACCTGGCCGTATCCCAGACCTCGTGCTTCCTTTGGGTGGCATGGCAGCTAGGCACTGAAAGGGTGTTACAGTTGAATGACTAGCGACCATCTCTCTATCCCTCCCCCCAAATCAGACTAGCTAGAACGCTTTCCGTAAGGGGTCTGTGTTATAGGGAAATGCTGAATACTTGGCTAAAGCCGTCTGATGTTTCAGGACTATTCAACTGACATTAAGGCAAACTTTGGTCAGTGGGACTGCATATGGTCTGTGACGTCATGCATGTCCTAAGTGTGCATATTTGAGTTTACGTTATGTTGTGTGCACGTCTGACACCTGATTTTGGACAAGGAAGCGTTTGGCCTAGATGTGAGCAATTAAAAAGCAGGGGTTAGGCTCGAACCACGGACCTGTGATTCAACTGTTTCACGCCTTAACCACTGGGCTATTCTAAGCTTAAGGTTCAACTGATCTAGTATGATACAATTAGATAGGACCAGACGTCAGTTAACTTGGCACCATCGGACCTGTTGTCGAACGGTATCTGTTATGTCTGCTGATTCGTTAATCTGTAGTATCTGCTGCTGACCCGCTCCAGTGCCTAATGCCGGAGAAAAAAGACTCGCAGAAGGGAACACAACAGCTATATTCCGAACAAACGAGTGCAAGAGCGTGAGTGCGTGCGAGTGCGAGAGCAAAAGTTTCAACGGCCCCACGCTATTTAAAGAAGACCTCTGACATTGATCCAGGCTGTTTGATAAGCGTTAATGAACACCCATCAACATCGATCGTGCCTCTATGAAAAGCCTGAACACTGATCACATTCGGTCATGCTTCTGTGGCGTGCAAGAACACTCATCAGGTTTTGCTGGATTGATTGAATGATTGACTGGCCTGAATGCTTGCCGGCTTTCCTGTTGAGTTTTTGGTGGAGCAGTATGTTCCGGGCGTTCTGAGGTTACATTCAGGAATCTGACCTTCCTGATATTATCATTTGGACGGTCGCTTATTTAGCATAGAATTTCTGTGACTACCGATCGATCATTTGCTGCAGGATATGCACACTATCATCACTGCCCAGATGTCTTTCAGTTATGAATATATTGCACTCATTAAGTCTCACTTTAATTTCTCGCAGATGTCCCAAGATCTCGTTTATACTCAGTGATTCAAACGTTTAACTTTTTGTTGACTGTCCGATTGCAACACAATCAGTACAGTCAGTCTGGTAACCGTAGTTGTTGCGGTACTCAAGACTAGTCGGACGCTCCTCCATATCAGCACTAAGATCTCGTTTATACTCAGTGATTCAAACGTTTAACTTTTTGTTGACTGTCCGATTGCAACACAATCAGTACAGTCAGTCTGGTAACCGTAGTTGTTGCGGTACTCAAGACTAGTCGGACGCTCCTCCACTATCAGCACTACCCAGATGTCTCTCAGTTATGTGTGGAGTGCAGTCATTAAGTCCCACTTCATTCTCTCACAGATGCCCCAAACTCTCGTTTATGCTCTGTGATTTGAACGTTGAAATGGTCGTTGGCTTCCCCACTGCAGCACAGTCAGTCTAGTGACCGTAGTTGTTGCGGTACTCAAGACTAGTCGAGCGCTTCTCTCAAAATGGTTATCGCTGTAAGGTCCTCCATGTGGAATTTGGTGCGGATGTCGAAGCTGGGCAGCCCACCAGGTCTCAGTTGTATGTTGTATTGTATGTTGTTTCATTTGAGTTAGTCCTCGGTCTGGCTGTTATGTATGCGTTGGTTGATTGAAGTATTCCACAAGCGTGTTGGATACTTGTTGCTCCTATGTGTTAGTTCAATGTGAGTGATAACGCTCTCAGTCACGGAAGGCTTTCGTCGCATAGTTTTCATACTCAGTGAATAAGCAAAGTCATAGATTGGGTTACTACCTGATTTGGTTGGCTTGTGGTAAACCACTATTTAAAAGTGGGGATATAACAATGAAAAATCCATTCACTGTGCTAGGAGTCTTGTCCTTTACATTGAAGCGAAGCAGAGTGTTGCGATGTGACGAAAAGTGATTCACATAAAATTTATTTATCATAATTAATCCATCATTAACATACGTCGCGATTTTGCCCGTCATGCTAACAAGAAACTGGTTACAGGAGGGAGTTCGATCAATAGTAATCCAACAATTCTGTTGATAATTCTGGGCTTCAACCGTAAACAGGGCGGAACGTAAGCATAATTCCAGACCTCCTATAACCCACAGTACAGGGAAGGAAAAAAATATATTTGACTTATTTTTCCTCTGCAGAGGACGTCTTATGTGGCCCATCTTGTCGGGGATAGAAAAAGAAACAAAAGAAGAAAAATAAGCACTGATGAAAGTCCCATTGTCCTCAGGATTCCATTGCTTTTCTGTTTGCTGAGAATTATAGCACTTAACAGTGTGACTCATCGCGTCACGTTAAAATGGCTTCGCCATTGCGAAGAGGATTATAAGTAATCTAAAGTTGGGATAAATACACAGTCGAACTTAGCAGATGGTCCTTTTTGCTTTGTTCTGGCAATCGGTAAAAGTTCGATTTAGGGACCATACAAGACTATAAGGACTTTCCAAACTTGGTTTTTGATGCCATGAATCCTCTGTGATGCAGGCAGTCCGATTTCGCTTAATATCTCCGTGACCTTTCTGTCAAAAAGCGTGTTTGGTCCTATGGCTTAATGGTTGATTGGTTCGTCTTCATACTCTGTATCACTCGGCAGGACCGTGATATATCCGCATTTATGACGTGGATTGCCTTGACTTGGCTTAAGCTTCTTCCCTAAGACTAGGTTTTATTGACCTTTATTTCCTCATGAGTTCTACAATCCTATATGGCACCTCGCTAGGCAGTGTGAGCTGTAGTTCGGCCGCTTTTGATTCAACACACAGTGTCACCTCATCTAATTTTCAATGCCACCAAGCAATCGTGGAATTCAAGTCTTTTTGTAATGCAGATTTCTATCGGACATGTTCTGAAAAAATTGCGTTCGTAAAAGCTCTTTTGATTAGTCACAATGACTCGCTGATCGCTTATCTCTAGGAGTCCAGACGTCTCAACAGATCGTTTCTATGTGCATCGAAACTGGTTGCCTTTCACTACTGCCCACAACTCAGAAAAGGCGATAAATGCCCTAGTGTAGAAGTTTTGAAAAGCAGTGTGAGCAGGTCTCTTATCCTTGGTGGCCGAGGAAACACGTCGGAGCGTAGATTCGGTGACTTTGCCAGCTAGGTGGGCTTTTAGAAAGGTCATTCCAGTTGATGAAAAATTTTGAAGGGTACTCCGTCAACCGATCCTCTTAATTTAAGCCACTGCGCGAATTTTCATCGTGCCACTTGATTTCAGTTGTCTGCCTGAGTAAATCATGGCAGAGTGAATATGGTGTAGAGCAAAACCAGGTCGCAATTACTCTTGGGCACAATAAGTGTGTTCTTTGAAACTTGTGGTGTCTGCGTATCAATCTAATGTGCTTTCATAGGTTTACAGCCTTAGTAAACGTAACATCAAGCGTTTGGCCCGCGCAGTTTGGAGTCTTATTATGGCGAAAAAGTTAGCCATCAGTATATGTAATCGAAACATGCAAAAGTCACCCTTACAGCTAAGGGCGAGAGACTACACTGATCGGTCTTGCAGTCGATCACTCGCTCTCAAGCTAATGAAACAAAATAATCAGTGCAAACTTGGTGGTTAGACCGGGCTTGGGGTCAGACAGTGAGACAGCATTGGCAGTCATGGCCAGCTGTTTCGTTTTTTCAACTAGGATCAACCCGTAGGGGGCCAGGATGTAGCTACAACTGAACTGTCACTGTACTAGTCCTTCACGTTGTCTCCCCTTCAGCATGCCACCAAACGAACTGCCTTCGCTCAATCTGAATGCGTGCAGTTTACACAGGCTGCTTGTTCTATTCAACCAGGAGCTTCATGATAAACGAAAGCAGATGTGACACGAAATATACATATGGCTTTCGTTTTCCACAGGAACATATCTGTACTCCTGGTGCGGGCACTAACCTATTCCCCACGTGATAATTACAAAAATCTTTGAAGCGTAACAAGTGTCACAAGGTTGCTAAAAACTCTTGAACATCCCAACTTATTAGTAGTACGTCGAAAAATACATTGCATGTGTAAAACATAAGACATTCATTATGCAGCACATTCGGTTGAGTTTCCCGTTCACACCGACACAGTAGCCAATCTTCCTGTATTGGCATGTTCACCACGGAGATCATACATCCAGTGTGCACATCACCAAATTCGCGTCACCCATGAGAAGGAATGGTGAAAATGGAGAAGAACCTTGCGTTCCTTACAAGTTTCTAGGGTGTTTAAATCCACATTTGCAATGGTGTTTACGAGGGCACTTCCATCCAAAGGCATGGGTGCTTGCTCATATTGTTCACCTCAAAAATGGACATGTCTACCTGTTCGGACTTCATAATTCGGGAGTGCCCAGCGTGTGCTAGTGGAACAGCGGTAACATGCTCGCCTCGGATGACAGAGGCACGACCCAGGATATGCACTGCTGATGAGCTCTCCGGAGAGCGAGGCCAGTTCCTTCCGCCCTCTGGTTTAGGATCACTAAAATGATTGCCCCAGGACAGAAGGAGGATAGTTCAAACAAGAGCACACAAATTTGTGAAAAGTTAGCCTCTTCAGGATGTTCCGTAGTGTGATGGCGAAAAAGGAGGGTTCAAACGATGGCTTGAAACATGTGGTCAGATGAAAGTAAGTCAAACGTGGCTAACGGTCGTTTCAATAATGGGGATTGTAATGTACTAAAAAACAGGAGGCCGAAAAAGAATTCTTAATCAGACCGCCTCATGATTCAGTTGGCACGATAGTCGAGATGTCGCAGTATATTTTCATAAAGCCAACTACTCACAAGATTGCTGAAAACTCTTCGACAGCCCACGAGCGGTTTCGCCCTTCCTGGAGCTCATCAGGTAGGCGCAGTCCCCGAGTTTCGTCAACCTTATGTTCTACTTGAACCCAAATATGGCTATGACACTATGACACTATGACACTCATTTGCAAAGCACTTTAGTTTTCACGAGAGACTCAACTGAATCTCTCGCTTATGATATTCTCTCTTGAAAACCACACTGATTTGCAAATGAGTGTATTTCCAGAAAACAGTCCAACTCTAGTGTCACTACGCAAGGATCAGCAAACATTTTGGGGATCGTATTTTGTTTTCAGACCGTACTTCTTTCCACTGGATGTTCGAATGACATTTCAGTTGACCATCGCTTAGGACGGTTACATTGGTGTATCAGTGCTTGCTTCCAATTTTTCTCGTACTCCACGTATCGTTCACGTGTACCTGTAAGTGAACAGGTAGTCGAATCGATGTTTCATCCATTCCGTGAAAGAACTGGTAGTCAAACCTGTTAGCTAATCTGGTCACGCAGAGAAAAGTGTGTACCGTCTTCCAAAGCTCCGGCATATGGTCACTGTTCAGAGTAACAAGAGTTACAGAAGAGTGATTGTACGCAATTTTGTAAATTAACTTGTGGGTAGTGGAAGACACAGCAGAATATCAGCTGAATCCCTCGTTTGCTATACCACCCAGTACTCCCTGCTAAAAAAAACCATCCCTTTGTGGGAGGGCTCCCAGAGAGTCAGCAGAATGTTGTCCTCCTCTCGTTCACGATAGTGGAAACTTATAGGAATTCAACAAATGCCGCTAGAATAGAATAATCTGCTCATCACTATCTCAAAACTGACAGCCCATGTGAATAGCAGGAATTCACGACTGATACACACGAAATGCGTATGAAAAGATCATGCAGGTGAATCAGTCGAAAGAAAGAGCCACCCTTAAACTACGCATCCTTCCAAAGTTCCTCGGCCGCTAGTGTTGGTTCGAAGCTTCGCTTGACAGACTTGTTTTTTTCTTCAGGTGCCCATTCTGCCAACTATCGTCAATGTGTTCTACTCGGAGAAGAAGTTTTCGATCACTCATATATTGCTTCCTTCCTCGACAACGAAGAATGCTCTGAGTTGGTTGAATTCGGTTATAAAGTTCTACCATCGATCGCGATCCAAACGATAGCAACCAAATTTGCAGGCTTTGTTCTATCTTGATGCATTCATTCATCTCAACCATACCTTACTTGCATACCTCTGCATATTGTTTTAATCTGTTTTCTTTAAGTTCCGATCCACCTTCCGGAAAATTGTACCAATCCACTGTGCCATTGTCAATAAATACATTATTGAATTTTTATGCACTATGTTCCAGGGTGATACTATCTGTTTTGTCCTGCATAATGCAACACAAACCAATGGGGAAAAGGCTTCATATTTAATAAAAATCAGGAAAAAACACCGGTGTTTCTAAAACCGACAGTAATATCACTGGTCAGGAGAAGCGGCAGCAGCTACACCTAGGACCAAGTAATTCCTGTACTGAGCAGGAGGAATGCACTTTTGGTAATGTAAAATTATTTGTAGATTACAGTGTAAGTGAAGCCAATCTACGCTGAAAGGCTGAGTAGTTCTGTACAGCTGTTCGATCGCGTGATTAAATGATGAGTAGTGCTGTACCCTATCTAAGTGTGAGCTAGCCACACTGCTATCAGCCGCTCGTTTCGGCGAGGTTAAGTGTTCAAATTACTAGCTGGGAGGTGGCGGGCTCGAGGCCCTATGGGCTTTTGTGAGATGCACACTACCGACGATTCCAAATGAGAAGGGAACAACTCTACAGTCCTCTACCTTACTTACAGGATGAAATCTCCAGAACTGATTGTCTTTCAAAACCTCAAACTACACTGTTTATCGAATTATTTTCAAACTTATATGGACATTCGAACTGTGCAATATTCTGTGACTTGCGTGCGACCACGAGAGATCAGATCTGTGACAAATACTTATCGGGACTGTTATAACTGACCGCTGTTCCTGGTTTAGTACCTGGTGCCAGAAAATAACTAAGGACAAGGAATTGTAGTGTCTGTAATCCGTTGTCACATTCACCATTCTTCCTGAACTTGAACCACACTTTGTAACTGTCGTTCACAGTGTATCATGACGTTTGTTTTAATGTTACGAATACACAATTTTCCGGCGCGACCTGCTGACTTCTTGCTGGACGACGGTATTTACGCCCGTTGAACTGTTTGTTGACTGTTGAACCAGTGGGACTAAATCTCTGTGTTTGTGTCAACTGTTAAACGTCACAATAAATCCCTATGACATTTTTTTAGCCGTGAATAATTTTTCTTACCGTGGAATATATCACTCACACGGAATCATCTGCAGGAAATCTCGACGAGTGAATATTTTCCTTTCACACCCAGTTACTGCATTTGGATCGGTGTAGTGGACTACTGGACCTACGCATTCGTGAGTCCCCATTTGACTACTCATTCCTTTCCTATTGTGATTTTTGTGATTTTGC